ATATATATATAATAAATAATATATATATATATACTACATACTATACTATATATATATATATATATATATATATATATATGTGTGTATGTATGAGTGTGCGTGTGTATGTGTGTGCATATATATATATATATATATACCAAATGTGCACGGTCACGTATTTGCGTTTTATACGTACGCATACAAACAAATAGTGCGCCGCTCATACGAACATGGATGTGCAGTGAAAAAGTACCTTTCTGGCAGCGCGGATGATACTTTGTCAAATGCGATCAACATGGGAGGCTGAGAAGCACCGCCACCGCCCCTCGCACCGTACACGTCTTCTTCCACATTCAGGCGTGACCAGAATAGCAATTTCGGGGTGATAGCTTGCCTCCTCCACTCCTGAGAGTGCCAGCCAGACACAAACATTCTCATTGACTAAGTACAAAACTATATGTGCATTGATATACACAGATTACAGGGCCTATCTCTCCATTCTGGGTAAGTACAAATGCGTTCGCTGAGACGAGCACATAGTTAGGGCGATGACTGCCTGTTTCACTCTTTAGAAGTAGAAAAGCGACTTAGCGGGTGTGGAGGTGCGCTTTAAAATTAGCTATGGTTGGCAGGTAAAAAGATATGCGTTTTTGCTAAATATCACAAACCAATATCATACAGTGCTTCAAAAGAAAAAAAATCCCATACGCTTGTGCATGCAAACACAAATGTGACTCTTTTTGTCTCATACACTTTCGTTTATTCCAATTTTACATGAATATATTCAAATACTTAACAAAAAGCACTCTGCGATGTGCAGGGATTTTAAACCTGAAATCAGATACTGATCTCGCAACCAGAGAATATGGCAATACCAATTGACATACAATAGTCCACAAATCCTACCCACCTGCATGTCCGCCAGGAATACACCCGCATTAAACGCCATAGCATTCTTCTTTATCCGCGTGCCCACCACCTTGGGATTGTCGAAGTTGAGAAACATCTTCATCTTATTGACTGTGTCCGGCACAAAGGCGGCGACATGCCCTGGTTGTAGAGTGAGGTCCCGCATCTGTGTGTAGACGATGGATGCGTCAAACAATAGTATAATACATATATATATATATATATATATATGTGTGTGTGTGTGTGCGTGTGTAATACATACATACATACATATATATATATATATATATATATATGCGTGTATGTGTGTGTGTGCGTGTGTGTGTATGTGTATAAATATGTATGTGTGTTCGTGTGAGTGCGTGTATGTGCGTGTGTGTGCGTGTGAGTGCGTGTGAGTGCGTGTATGTGCGTGTGTGTGCGTGTGTGTGCGTGTGTGTGTCCGTATGTTCATGTCATATGAATCTGTATTCGATGCTTGTGTCTGGCACGAAGCCGGCGGTAAACTTAGTAGTAAATGAGGTCCAATATTCTACATCTATATAGCGTTTGATTTCCATGCCATATAAACATATGTTTGGGCACATGTGCGCTTATTTACAGAGATGTATGTACCGTATTTTAAGGTATGTAAAATTCACTCTTAGTTGGCCAAATTGGAACAATTCTGAACACAGACTCACAGATTCAGCTGCATGCAGGTTCAAGATGTATCTGTGGTTGCGTTTTAATATTTAGCAGATGATATTAAGTTTAGATCAGACCGATTTATTGTACAAACGGCGATACTATGATACTGAGATCAATTTGTTCGGTTGATTCCCAATGGGCAAGTATGCAACGCTGCGGTACACCGATTACTACAGTCTGTCTTTCGCCGAGTGGTGTGCAAAACATTGGCAGACTTGTTATTCAGTATTTGCAATCGAGAGTGGATGTATGCTTATAGTCGCACATCGCACATTCGATATTATTAGGCTATCAAAACTTCCACAACTATCCTCACAAGTCTACAAATGACTACACACACCTCTCGCAGATTACCCCTCACCAGCGTATCATCATCCAGGTACAGAATACGTTCCTGCGTAATGTCTGGTAAGAGGTCCGGCAACCAGAACCGTGCGAAGTTTAGGGGCGATCCCAGTTCTTTCCTCTTGCCACGCACGCGTACATTGCCCTCTACCAGCGATGCATCGAAGTGAATGATCTCCATCGCTAATTCGGTGGGGTAGTAGTGCAGCAGCCATGCCTTGATGTGCTCCACATCCTCGGGAAGTAGGACGAGATGGAAGAAGCTGTGTGCGGGTGAAGTACAGACGGGTCTGAGAACGCGGATATCAGAAGCAGCAGATAGTACTATGACTACATACTTGCGGGCATAGATGTACTAAAAAATTCCACATCGATGTCAAGAAACACGTCGATAGTTAATGTATAGATGCAAGCTAATAGGGATTTAATGTGTCCGAAGGGCCGCATGCAGCATATCTGCAGTCCTAACACGAGGTTTGTTTTGTAGGGACCGACGCGAGATGAATCACAGAAGTTCAGGGACACAACTGTTTTAGGGTTTTAGGGATTTAGACGTAGATGTAATGAATCAGAATCAAACGTATATGTAATGAATCAGAATCAAACGTAGATGTAATGAATCAGAATCAAACGTAGATGTAATGAATCAGAATCAAACGTAGATGTAATGAATCAGAATCAAACGTAGATGTAATGAATCAGAATCAAGCGTAGATGTAATGAATCAGAATCAAACGTAGATGTAATGAAACAGAATCAAACGTAGATGTAATGAAACATAATCAAACGTAGATGTAATGAAACAGAATCAAACGTAGATGTAATGAAACAGAATCAAACGTAGATGTAATGAATCAGAATTGATCAGAATTGAATTAAACAAGAGGCACGTCAATGGGTTTGATTAGAAATGGAGTACACTAGAAGCATTCGAGGCACAAGTGATCGTAGTGTTTGTATTTGATGCTAAAAATAAAAAATAAATGATACACACATACAATCCATCTGTTTATGTTCAGCTTGAGAGGACCGTAGACGCACAAAAATCACCGAACAGGGGTGTGTCCAACGAAGCACAAGTCATGCGTTACAAAACGTCTGAGATGCTGCAAACGCATATGAACAGCAGCTGGTGAACATACACCAGCCAGCTATATGCAGCGTATAACCTCACGTACAACATGGAAACGCGTGTAGATTGTGGAAGAACAGGATGAAGCCCTTGAAGTAATCTCGCCGATGTGCATTAACGAACAAATTGGTTTGTGTGGACCGCAAAACACGTCGACTCGTCCATGCCTATCCGAGAGACGAAGGATGACTTAATATTTTGAACAAACGAGAAGAAAAATATATATAATGTAAAAGTATACAGCGAAGCAGCAGACCCGTCAGACAAACCTCTAATTCAGCCGAACCTATAAGCGGAACATAGGATATACACTCATGCATGAGTGTACTACGCTTGTGCATTCTACTATTAAAGCAAACACCTTTCTGAATACCCCTGTGGTACAATTCGCCCTTCGAAAAGATACTGCCTGAAGGTGATTGTTGATACTTCCTGAAGGTAATAGTTCTAAATCGTCAGATGATATTAGACTCTGTATGTTTGAGAAACACCCGGCATTGTGGTTTGACTGAACCGTACACTAGGGTTGTGAGCAACCGTATACACGAACAGAGTTGTGAGCAACCGTATACACGTACAGAGTTGTGAGCAACCGTATACACGTACAGACTTGTGAGCAACCGTATACACGTACAGACTTGTGAGCAAAAGTATACACGTACAGACTTGTGAGCAACCGTATACAAGTACAGAGTTGTGAGAAGCCGTATACACGTACAGACTTGTGAGCAACCGTATACACGTACAGACTTGTGAGCAACTGTATACACGTACAGACTTGTGAGCAACCGT